TTTTTTTTTTTAAACCTTTCTGTATCTCTTACCTTCTCTGTCTCTATGATTGGCTGGCAGCTGCTTGGCTTCTGGCCCCAGGAGTGTCCCCCTCTTTCTCCTTGTTCTCCTCTCTTTTCTCTTCCTCTCAAGCCTAAATTTCTCCGCCTATTTATTCTCTCTGTCTGCCAACCCATCTATCCCACTCTGGCCTAGCTATTGGCCGGTCAGCTTTTTATTAGACCAATCAGGTGCCTTAGGCAGGCAAGGTGAAACAGCAACATAGCTTTTCATAATTAAACGAATGCAGCATTAACAAACGTGACACACCTTTTATGTAGTTAACTATCCCACAGCACCAAGCAGCAGGGAGAGGAGAGGATGTGGTGCTGAACTACAAACCTTAAAGCCCTCCTCCAGCCCACTTCCTCCAGCCAGGCCCCATCTCCTAATGTTTCTGCAATCTCATGGGACAACACCTGGGAACAAACTCATGAGCCTGTGGGGACACTTTTGCATTCAAACCATGACAGATGAGGGCTCTGTGACTTCAGTCCTGTCAAGGTCGGTCTGTTAGATTCTTCTAGAAGGTGCTTTCTTGTGGGTACAGGTCTTTGAGCTGCTACATTCAGCCCCAAAGCCAGGTTTTTTTTTCTTAAGCAACAAAGGCAAGAAAAAACAAACAAACAAACACCAAAAACAAAAACAAAAGACAAACAAACAAAAACAATGAGATACAGTACTGGGAGATACTTACTTTGCCTTGTAGCGCTAAGTTCTTAACCAGTTTTCCCCATTTGTTCTTTTAAAAATGGTTTTATTGTGACAACATTATAGTACTTAGGATTCCGCATCCTGTTTGAACAAATAATCGTGTTTTACCGTTTCTAATTGTAATGATTACATGTTATTTTGTGGGAAATGGTGAAAAATTGTCCTAGGGGTGGGTCTTGCAGATAATGAATTTACCTTTTTGTGTTACATGTCTCTGCTTTTAATGGGCCTGCAATTTCTCTATGGTCTGGCAAGAAAGATCCCAGATTGCATTTGGGAAGTGTCAAGGAAAATAAGCTTTCTCTCAAAAAAGAAAAAAAGATGGATAATTTCCATTACTCCTCAGACTATCATTTAGGCCCATTAAACGCGTTCCCCATTTGCTGTTCTGCCTGACACGGGGGCTCTGCCAGCTAAGTGTGTGACTGTCATCTCCTTTGTTAGAGTGGACCTTCCCTCCCCGGCTCCAAGGTCATTTTTCTACAGCCTTGGGAGGGCCCAGCCACGGTGCAAACAACAACACCGTTTGTATTAATGGCCTTTGGAAAAATACAGCGTTGGTGGCAGTGGAGGAGAGCCAAATGGAGGGCGGCTGCGGTGGTGGATGCAGAGGCAGGCTCTCAGGCGGCAGCCTGCTACCTCACTCAGGCTGTGATTCCCTCTTAGGCTTCATACCATGGCTCAGTTGCCAAGGAAGCCCCAACGAGGACCAAATGAATCACTGTGTGAAAGCCTTCCAGGAGAGAACGCAGAGATACAAGGAACAGCAGCAGGAACTGAACTGCTGTGTGGCTCGCGCCCAGGTCCTGAAGCCCATCTGCTCCGAGGACACAGTGCTGTGGACGCTGCATGAGTATGCCAAGAAGTATCACCCCCTGACTCTGGGTACGGCCTCCCCCACATCTGCTTCTCTCAGCCATGGTCCAGTGAGATCCCAACAGGCTGTTGGACAGCCAGGAAGAGCACCTAACCAAGCATAGTGGCTGTGGGGGAGAAGGGACCCATCCCGGGCAGCTGGGGGAGGCTGGCATCCCCCTCAGAACCCTAGACAAGTCCCAGTGGACTTTGAGCATCAGCTTGTGAATCGGTGGGTGCCCCTTTGGGAGTTTTCTCTGAGCTGGATTCATTGTTCTCTGAGCGGACACAATAGCCCTGTGAGGATGACTCCCATTCCCGGTTAGAGGCCCTTAGAGATGCTCCCGTTAGCTTCCTAGAGGGCTCCCGGGGAACACGGCAAGGGTGCCGATGTCTCTCCCAGATTTGAATCCAGCTTTAGGTGCTGATTCCGCAGGAAGAGACTTCACATTGGGTGACGGATGACGGAGCACTAATTTAATGTGACTTTGACCTGGATTATGTGTGCATCTAAAGGGCTATAGGAAAAGTCATGCAGGGTCTGGGAATGGTTAAGTCTGTAGCGCACTCACTGCGCATGTGTGAAGACCTGTTTGGTTCCTCCCCAAAGCCCATGTAAATAAACCAGGTATGGTGATACATGGCTATACTCTCATGGTAGAGCTCAGGGTCTTGTTGGCCGATTAGAATGGCTGAATTGGTTTTTAGAATCACTGAGATATCCAGCCTCACAAAAAACAAGTAACAAAAGAAGGCATTTGGTGTAGATCTCTGGTCTCCACAAGTACATGGATGCATTCACATACAAGTACACGGATGCACTGTGGTGCGCTGACATACAAGTACACCGGATGCACTGCGTGCGCCTGTGCGTGCACACGCGTGCGCACACACACACACACACACACACACACACACACACGGCTGATAGCCTTTCTTGTTAATACTAAATTGTTGAGGGACTTATCAAAATAGGTGATCATTGATATGCTTGCCGGGCTTTAAAATATTACAGATGTGACAAAGAATCGCTGCCCAAGTTTTAGGATTTAGCTCATCTCTATGGATACTTGCTGTGTGTCCTAAAGCAAACTGCTTTACCCCCTGGCTCCTGTGCAGAGAAAGATGGACCAAGTGTCCCCTAGGGTGCCATCCAGCTTTGAATTCTGGGACTTGGGGGCCTCATTTGACTCCAGCACCCGCGTTCACCCTGCCTGTCAGTGTCAGCCCCAGGACCTGATGGCGCTTCTGGTGGACTGAGAGCTAAGTGTGTCCTGCACCTACACTTCCTGACTGGGTCTCAGGACTTTCCTGGGAAGGATCACGTGGAGCTAACGGTGGCATCTGCCTCCACGGCTGCTGAAGACATGAAATAAGATGTCTACTAGAGAGAAGCCCTTTCCAGGATGACTGGCACACAGTTGGAGAGCTCTGTGTGGCCTGGGGGTTTCTTGGGTTAACTGTTAATATGCCAGGGAGCTTGGGAGTGCTTCCCACTGGGCTGCTCTGAAACCCTCAGGACCCCTGCTGTCTCCTTGCAGAGTGCAAGAATGTGAAAAAACCGCTGGAGGAGCCGCCCATCCCTGGCTGGGCAGGCTTTTTGCCCAGAGCCAGGGTCACCGAATTTGGCTGTGCCACAAGGTATACCATCATGGCCAGAAAGTGCTACGAGGACTTCTTGAATCTGGTGGAGCAGGCCAAGAGGGCACGACGGAAATCTTATGAACAGTAAGTGTAGCTGGCGTTTCCTGTGAGCTGCAGGGTCCGGGGAGCAGAGGGCGTGAGAGCAGGGGCAGCAGGCCCCGCCCACCCCAGCACTGCTACTGACCTGGTGTGTAGAATGCGCACGTTTGTCATAGCAGGGCCTTCCTGCAGGCAGCCACGCTCTGCACCATGCCCTCCAGCTGCGCCATGGGTATTCTATGCTGGGAGCAGAAGGACAGACAGATCTGTCTGTCTCAGCATTGGCCTAAGACTCAGCTGCTAAAGGAAGCCAGGCCCGGTGGTGCACACCTTTAATCCCAGCAGGGGGCAGGCAGATCTCTGTGAGATCAGGGCCTGATCTACATACTGAGTTCCAGGACAGTCAGGGCTACACAGAGAGAGACAGTCTCAAATCAATCAATCAATCAATAAAAAAAATCAAACAACCACAAAATATGAGGATGATTGGTTGTAGCCCCTAGTGCCCCAGGGTTGATTTGGTGGATCCGCCCTGCTAGGCAGCTGCCCCCTTCCTTCCCCCACTGCTCCACATGCATCCCTCCCGAAGTTGTTTGCTTTGTTGGAGAGGACAGCCCTCCCCCACTAGAGGAGGACTGATCTACTGTGCTCCCGGCTAGAACCTCCAACCAGGCTCTCAAGATGCTAAAAGAGAGGGAGGTGGCAGGGACCCTGGAGCACTGCCCACGGTAGCTGTCGTGCCTCAGTTTACCATCTGTGAAACGGGGATGGTAATTCTGTGTAGAAGGAACGGTGGGCTGCATCCTGCCACTCGCCCAGCTGGCTTTATCCGAAATAATTACACGGAAACTGTATTCATTTAAACACTGCTTGGCCCATTATCTGTAGCCTCTTATTGGCTAACTCTAACATATTGATCTAACCCATTTCTAATAATCTGTGTAGCACCACGAGGTGTGGCTTACCGGGAAAGGTCCTAACCTGCGTCTGTCTCGGAGAGGAGAGTCATGGCGACTGCCTCATTGCCTTCTTCCCAGCATTCTGTACTGTTTACTCCACCTACCTAATTTTCTCCTATCAAAGGGCCAAGGCAGTTTCTTTATTAACCAATGAAAGTAACACATAGACAGATAACCCTCCTCTGTCAATTCTGAACGTTGGGGTGGATTGTAAGGATTAGAACAAACACACTGTGCTTGCTTGGGACCTGTGTGCTATACCTCTTACTATAAGGGGTAACTTCATGCTTTCTGCTTACTTTAGGATATATAGTGTGAGCTCCACCCAGCCTCCTGATGCGTCTCCAAAAGTATCACAGCGTCATGGTCTCCCACCTGAATACCCAGAATCCTCTGTGCCAGGTAAGCTAGGGAGGCACTGTTTCCTTCTGCCCTCCCTGCTCATCTGGGTCACCCATGTGCCGCTCCTGTGGATTCTTTCTCTTCCAGGTCAAACACCCCCAGGCGAGGGCTCCCGAGCTCCTGGAACCTGTGGCTGTGCTCAGTGGTCCAGTCTGTCATGCAGCAGGAATGTGTATGGGGAGCCACCATCCTCAGCAAGGAATTTTGCAGAGGCTTAGAATCCCGCCTCCTCCCAAGAGATGTGAGCCTTAAGGGAGTTCAGAAGCCTGCTGCGTTTGCATCAAAACCAGCCGCTCACACTCTTTGAGCAATGAGGAGATTTAATAATAATTCTTTAACCACTATCTGTGCCCTGAGTGACTGGCAATGTCACCCATGACAATCTTTGAGTAGAGAAGTTACCTCTCAACTTGGTAATTTTTTTCTGTTTTGGGGAAGGGGAGGAGTAATGGTAATTTTCAATATGTTGATCTGGTAAAGGGCCTATCTAGGGCTGTCTCCTCCTAACACCAAGGTAACCTTGTGTAGCTGGGTCAGGCTCTTCTCCAAAAGCCTAACCAATCCTTCTAACCAGTCTGTCAGTTAACATGGGTCCCGGTGTAGCCTGTCCCCCAACCTTGGTACAGAAATCTTACTTCAACCCCAGTTTTCTATAATCCATGTCCCCAGGGTGTAACTTGAGGTTTCTCTCCTGCCCACCAGTTCCTGAATAACCAACCATTCAGAGGCTTAATATTAATTTTAATCATTTGGCCAATGGCTTAGGCTTATTTCTGGCTAGCTCTCATGTTTAAATTAACCCATTTCTACTAGCTTATATTTTACCATGAGGCTCCTGGCTTGTTACCTCACATCTTGCTTCTCCAGCAGCTGCTGGCATCTCCCTGATTCTGCCTTCTTTCTCCATGTATCATTGCTTGGATTTCCTGCCTGGCTCTATTCTGCCCTGCCACAGGTCAAAGCATCTTCTTCACTAATGGCTATAAACCATATTCACATCATACAAAGAGATATTCCACGTCACCAGGGAGATTCCAGCTAGCAACCATCCATCAGCTATGTGAGATTACCAGGGATGTTTAAACACAGAACCCAGCTGGGTGGCTTCACCACACAGGGACTCCAAATCTGTAGGCTTCAGTTGCTGGGACCAAATACCTAAAGTAAAGAAGATGTTTTGACCTGTGGCAGGGCAGAATAGAGCCAGGCAGGAAATCCAAGCAAAGATACATGGAGAAAGAAGGTGCAGGCAGGGAGATGCCAGCAGCTGCTGGAGAAGCAAGATGTGAGGTAACAAGCCAGGAGCAACTCAAGGGTGGAAGGGTTTATTGTGGCCACAGTTCAGGGGTTCAGCATTCATCATGGCGGGGAAGGTGTGGCAGGCAGGAACATGAGGTGGTCAGACACATTGCATTGTCAGTCAGAAATAGACAGGAAACAGCCAGGCTACATCAAACCTCAAGGCCCTCCCTAAGGCCCTCTACCCCCTAAATGCTCTGCAGCATTCCAAAATAGCACCGCCCTGGGGAAAGGGGGACAGCGTTCAAACACAGGGGCCTGTGGAGGATTTCTCGCATTCAAACCATGTGGTAGATCTCAGTCTCTGTTTTCTGGTCACATGCCATTCTTCCTGTGTGTTTGTAGATTCACTGCCTCTGGGGACACTGGCATAGGAATCCACTGTGCTCCATCCTGATGTCATCCTAGCTAGTCAAACCTGCAGGACCCTGTTTTTAAGTCAGTCATATTCTGAGGTCCCTGTGTTTAAGGGACACAGTTCAGTCAGTCAGTCAGATTAGCTTCCTGCCTCTTTCCTGCGGCAGGTCAGGTGTCTGACTTCATGTGGCGGTTGTCGGTATGCAGAAGAAACCAGAGGGAGTTCTGAAGGGACAGATCTGTCCATGGGCATCAAAACACTTGTAAACTCACAGAGCCCATAGAGACAGCTTTTTCTGGGAGCTCCTCACACAGCAAGGTCATCCTTGCTGCATAGTGCATAGTTGAGTTCTCTGGGGAGGGGAGAAAAGAGCATTCAGGGGCTCAGGGAGAGTGTCTGGATTGGTTTAAGATATTTTAGGGCCAGAGAGATGATGGCTCAGTGGGTAAAGTCTCCTGCCATCAAGCCTGACGACTTACGTTCAATCCCTGGGACCCATATGATGGAAGGAGAGAAGCATCCCCCATAGGTTGTCACCTCCAAACTGCCAAAGTGTGCTGTGACACACGTGTGCCTATGTACATAAAAAATTAAAAATACATTGGAGTTTTTGTTTAAAGAGAAAAGAAAGTCGTGTCTCAGCAGAAGGCAACTGGCGTTCTCTCAGAGGGCTGATGCAACGCTCAAAGATCAGTCAGGATGCTTCCAGGTTCTAAAGGAGTGACCACAACCCCACACAGGACCAGGAAGCAGGTCCACCAGCTGCCTGGGGGTATGGGACCCAGGCCTCTGCTTCTCTGTCAGCCTCTCTCGTCACTAGACGTGCTGAAGGAGAAGAGTGGGCGTGGGAAGTGTATCTCCTTGGCCCTTCTCAGGACACACAGTTTGCAGGTACCGGGGTCGTTTCCGTGAGGTGAAGGGGGTGACAAGCTGGCGTATTTCTCACCTCCCCCTCCTCCTGGAAATTAAACCCTGTGTCAATATTTAATTTCTTGGCTAATTCATTTTGCAATAACTTTTAAAAAAAATGGCTGAAACTTAAACCCTTAAAACCCCAGTGGAGAGGTAATGAGGTAGATGCTGTTCAACTCGTCAGCAGCCTGCTCTTTTCCAGGTCACGAGCACCACGTTCAGGGTACAGGGCTGTGATTCCCTTTGTCTCCTCGGTTCTGCTTTGCAGTTCTTTTCCTTAGTCCTCATCCTTTCTGTTCCTCCTAGCCTATAATTTCCATGAGTTTCTGTCGCCCGGGAGGGGTGTATAAAGGTGATTTTTGCCTTGCAGCAAATTATCGTTATTAGCACAGGCTGCATCCGTAATGAGCTCATTCTTGCTACTAAAAACAATTCCATTACCTGAGGATGAAAAACGAATCCCTGGGCCAACTGGGTCTTTTGTCAGGAGAGCTTGGGCTTTGTGGCAATTAAAGTTGTCTTCTTAGGGGTCACCTTTGCTTTCTGTACAGAAATTGATAGCCCTCCTTTATGTTGGTGAGGGGGGACACCATTGGTCCCTGTCTCTGCTACAGGGCCCACAGTGGTGACCAGCTGCCTGGAAACCTCCTTACAAAGCTCTCAGCCATGACGTATCTTTGCCTTTGCTCAAGCAGCACCGTGTGTGGTGTAGGCCGCAAGCCCCCTGAGTTCACGTCTCAGCTTTTTATTTCTGCACGCATGACCCATGGACACTCCCTAAACTCTCTGAGGACCACACTCCTATTCTGTGAAATGAAGATCACGCAAGAGCCTCATAGCATCCGTGTGATACTAAGAGACCAGCCAGGTCTAGGATTGTGGCTGTAGCTTAGTGGTAGAATACCCGGCTCACGTGGGCAAGGTTCCAGGTTTGATGTACAACCCTGCTGTGGTAAAATCTGTTATACTTTCCTTGTCACTGAGGTCAAGTACCCAACAAGAAGAAACTTAAAAAAAAAGTTTATTTTCTCTTACAGTTCAAGAGGGTACAATATGTTATGGTCAGGAAGACGTTGGCTGCAGGAACAGAAGGCAGCTGGTGACGTCACCCCCACAGTGGGCAAGCAGAGAGTATTCAGTTCAGGACGTCAACCCGTGGAATAATGGCCAGAGAGGGTCTTCCTACATCACTTAACCCAGTCTGGAAACTCTCTCACAGGCATGCCTAGAGATGTGTCTCCTAGATAAGTCTAGATGCTGCCAAGTTGACCATATAAAAACAATTATACCCATAAAACAGAGCAAGACAAAGCCAACCAAAATAACAGCATAGACAGCCACATGGCACTGCGGAAGGTAGGTAGGCCAGTGCACTGAGGCCCTGATGCCTCTCTGTGGTCTGTGATGTCCTCCTTGGCCATTGCCACAGTGAACAACTTCTAAAGAGCCATGGACTCCCCCTGGGTCACTTCAGGGAGGTAGCAGGGGAATGCAAGAGTGTCCCAAGGGTGATGGAGCCTTCTCCGGGGTTTGGGCGGCCACGGCTGGCTTCGGGAGTCCTCTGGTCTTGCCGTGTCACTGCCGGATGTCTCCATGCGAAAACGACCACTTCAAGCTCCTGTCTTCTGTTATAAAAATGATCAGCCTGCCTTCCGTGTGAGGTTGTTTTGGAAGATTCGGTGAAACAATGGGCTTAGCGGGGTTTTCACAGTTTGTATGTGTTAAGTTCATATGTGCAGGGCGTCATGTATGACCATTGCTAAAAGAACAAGGGCAGACAACACGGGAAGCTGAATGAAGACAGACCCCTCATCTTGTATAAGCTGGCCTGAAACTCTCCACTTGCTTAGAGTGATGTGTGTGTGTGTGTGTGTGTGTGTGTGTGTGTGTGTGTGTGTGTTAAGGCAATTGTCAGCTGATTGGCTAGGTATTTTTAGTGAGCAAGCCAGTAAGAAGCTTTACTCCATGGTGCCTGTCTCCGGGTTTCTGCTCAAGTTCCTTCCCTGACTCCCTCACTGATGAGTTGTGAGCAAAGTGTGAGCTGGAATAAACCCTTTCCTCTCCAAGTTGCTTTTGGCCAGAGTGTTTACCACAGAAAGAAAACCAGAATAGGTCCAGACAGCTGCATATTATAGGCTTCATGGGCCATAAGGACTTTCATAACTACTCCTGCCCTCAGTAGGAGAATAGCCAGTGTGTAACTAAATGGATGACTGCCGTCTTTCAATAAAACTTTATTGACAGTCACTGAAATTTTAAGGCTATACAGTTTTCATGTATCATAAAATGCCATTTGTATTTTGAATTTCTAAGAAACAATTAAAACCGTGAATGCCATTCCTAGCAAGGGATAAGAAAAAGAGCAGGGGCTAGAACCCTGACTCCAGCCTCTGCTGTACGCCACAATTTAAGCCAAAAGCAAGGTGCTAGCCAGACTCTGGTTGTGCTTTGTTTGTTGCAGTGTGGGCCAAGCGAGCACCGCTGAGAGACAGCTCACTGGAAGATTCCAGAAACATAGCCTCCTGCAGCTAGCGCTCTGAGAATACAGCCTAAAACCATGGCCAAAAGACAGGAACACAAAGACCAATGTGGAGCTTGTATTAGCCAAGAGAAAGCCTACGGTGGCTTGAGAGAAGGCAGAAACAAAGGCCCAGGAGAGGCTTTTTATACCATGCATTAAAGTTAAAATCTAATTTAGATGAAAATGGAGGCACAGAAATGAAAAGTGTGTGTGACTTCAGCCGTGCAGCCGTATGCCCTCTAACGACAGCTTTACAAAAACACATTCCCTTGGCTTGGAAATAAAGAGGATAGTTCTCCTTTTCCCGCAATTTGACTTC